CTGTATGTTTTGCTCAGCTGTCTGCGCTTGCTCGCTCAGCAGAACGCGAAACGCTGGAAAACAAAATTTCGTGTTTCGCTCGGGTGTGTGCGTTGTGCTTCACCAATATTACAAATATTCCCGGCGTACCCATGCTATTAGTTACACTGGCGCTTTATTCAAGAGAAACTGTGATTGCCAGCATAATTATTTACCATATAGCCAATGCATTTGTTATTAACAACTCGCGCCTGTTTAGACATTCCATAAAATCATTACCGTTAATTAAGCGTGATTACTATTGCTAGGTGTCGTGTTGCAACATGTCTATTAAAAACAACTCACGTTGCAATGATGTTATGTTGCCGAGAAAACAATCTGAGGAAACGAAAGGGGCGTCGAGTTTTAATTAGATAGCAGAAGCGACTAGTTTTCAATAGATAAGAATGTGTTAAGTAGTCTTGTTCTTACCTTCCAGCGCCAAACATACTTCCGTTGGCAGCCCCAAACGTTGAGCAAGCAACAGATAGTGGTATGATCCACGCCATCACACCTAGCATTGAATTACTCCACGACTGAAAACGAACATCAACAATACAAGTAAATAGTGTTGCATAGTTTTTATAATCCTAACCGTTCAAATGACATTTCTTTATAATCTGGCATCATACTACCAAAGAATATGACACCAGAATGCATAAAATAATTTAATTGCATTTAATTTAATTTAATGCATGAATGCATAATGACAAGATTTACAGATTGTCAGCTTGCATTAAAAATGATTAAGCACGAGTTATTGGTCTATGTCAAATGTCCACATCGATGAAGGTTGACGCTCTCCCGAAGCCCAACACAACGACAGTGCATGTAAAGAAGATTTAAACACTCAATGTATAATATAGTTATATCATATTTATTTGATTGACGCTATAAATGGAGGTCTGGGCTGGCTCTACAGTTACACACACCCACGAATATACACATGCACACGGGCGCGCGCGCGCACACACACACACACGCACGCACGCACGCATGCACACACACACGCACCACGCACGCACGTATGATTTTATTTTAAAAAGTAGTATTCAAATTGAATGCCATATGAAATACGAACGGTTACCGCATTTCATGAATGCAATATGGTAAATCAACATGGAATATTAGCAGTATCAATTTTAACCTCCAAGTTCATGTGAGATGATGCCCCTAAAACGGAACACCGTCTTTTGCCCATGACAGACCGCACATGCTGAGACCCAGTAACATTGTTTGTGGTTACGAAAGTCCATCCCTATCTGTAATAGATATAGGAAAGGGAATGGAAATTTTAATATTTGTTTAATGGTAATTATCGTGGACACCTCGTAGTAACATAAGCACTTACGTATAGTTACATAGTACATTAGTACTTAACGTGGACACCTCGAAAAGCCCCTGTAAGGATCGCCCACGCGAGGGTCAGTGTTTTAAGAACCGCGATTGCAACGGGAGCTATATCCAAGCATTTGAAGCACATCTAGATGTTATTCTACACCATAGTCAGTGTAGCAATTCTCGCATCGCTATCAGTATACTGTGTGCTCACCACGGCCACGGCGTCCGACGCAAGCATTGCTGATTTCGACATCACAGTGAAATATGATATGTTGGTGAGCACATAGACAATGGTCACCAGTGGAATGCCAATCATGATAGATCTAGGAAGATTTCTGTCAACAGGTAAATCATTAACATACTTATAGGGAAATCATATGTAATCTTTAAGCATAGAATAACGTCTCTTGCATCTTTTAAATGCTAACACTATAGTTGACAGGCATTGATGCCACTACCTCGATGAAGCCAGGTTTCTTGTTCTACCTTGTGCGGGCTGACCTTTCAATTGAAGGGCACAATTGGAGGGTTAAATGTCGTGGTCGAGCTTTTATGGGGGGAAATTATTGTAAGGTAGGCGAGTGAACTGACAACCAGTCTAATCAAGTACATCTGATAAAACTACTTGTTGGGTTCAAAGATTGGCTAATTGGAAAATTTACAGGCGGTGCGGCGAGTTATGGTCTGGTGTGTTCTGGTGTTGTGTACTGCCTGGCGTAACGTGGCGTTTCAGGCGTAATGGGGTGTCGCGTGTATAACTTCGTTGAGGTTTGAATTATTGATGCAAAAACGTCTATAAGCATACTTGCTAGGACTCCTAAGTTCTTCGGTTACAAAGTTGAGGTTGTTCCATCCGTCATAAGCCCATAAACCGCTATAGAAAGCCAGGGCAACACTTGAGGGAGAAGTGGCCGTACCTGCGAATGCATCCGTAAGACTTTCCGTCATACCTGTGCAATAATAATGAATGAAAAATCAAAATAAATTAATAGCTACACACATGCGAGCACGCACGCACACACACATACACACACGCGCGCACACGCACGCACGCACACACGCACGCACATACGCGCGCGCGCAATCTCTCGCCATTTCTTTCCCTCTTTCTGTGCACGCACTATTTTATTTACGCACACGCACGCGCACACAAACAGATAAATAATGACAATAAGTAATGACACACTATACGTGTATGAAAATATAAATGTCAATAAGCATGCAGCTTAGGCTTATGCGTTTTGGCTATTGTATCGATATCATCCAACCAATATAAGGATTTGAATATGGACCATTCGGTGGCAGGCTTTATTGTATTAATTTCTCCTGTTCCAACGTAAAGAAACCATATATGTTTATTAATAGCAGATGCAAGTTTGCAACTCTACCTCGACAAAGATTCACGATGCCTCCCACGATGATAATGGCCAGCGCCAATAACTTGGCAAACATGAAGACATTTTGTAGTCTCGTTGCGGATTTCACACTCATGCAATTAATTGCTGTCAGAAGCACTAGTAAACGTAAAGAGAAACAATTATTAATAAAAATATGAATATGCATGCCATATAAATTCATCAATAAGTAAATTCATAAAAAATGGGGAAAAAGAAGTAAAAAATAAATGAATCGATTAATCAATAAATGCACTCATACATAAAGTAGTCTCAGGACGGCTATACAATATGCGTTCTGGTTTGACATCTACTTACGAACAGCGCCAACCGTCGTGAGCTTCACTAGGATCTTGGGAGCTCCACAGTCTCCGAACAGCGGACTCATCGCGTACTCGCCAAAGGCCAGGCAGATGATAGCGAGAGAGGACGGCTTCATGATGAACACGGCCGTCCATGAGTACAGGTATGCCGGAATCGGACTTAGAAAGGTGTGTCGCTTCGACCGCCCGAACGCTTCCATCAGGTAGGCGTACTCACAGCCCGATAGTGGGATCATAGTTCCCAGCTCGCAGTAGCACAGCGAACCTGTGGTGAGTGTGTGCGGGCGGGGGCAAAGCGGTACATCATTAAACTATATCCTAAATAGCACACGGTCCAATTGATGTTTAAAATCGTGTCTGGAAATAATGTCACGTGTGTCAAGTCTCAAGTGTCCATCGGCTCCCTTTTTGACCGAACTCGTCATCGTAATGTCATGTCATTGTCATTCGACATTAATCATACTAAAATAAGGAATGCATAACAAGCAAAGGGTTTTGATTTGATTAAACAATAAGTACATTCTTACGATCAAGGGAAACTAAATAAAATGAACCGTGTCTATTGTATAGTATATTTCTATACACATACCTAGTAAAGTTAATTTTTACGGGTTTATTTATATATATATATATATATATATATAGTCACTTTAATTACCAAGCATAGCTAAAACTCCACAGCCAGTCCATACAACCAAGCTCAATCCTACAGAGCCAGTTCGCTTTAACACTGATATCGGTGATATAAAAATGCCAGAACCTGTAAATAGATATATTAAATCCCTTAGCACGATATAATAAAACATCGGTCATACGGTGAATGAAATCAAAAAAATATTTATTTTTATATTGATAAAACGTCATTTATCGCAATAATGACGCCATTAGGTGCTTCTGAACGCTATGCGATGCGTCGCTATAACAACATTCATCCAGAGGACATGCGGTACTAGCACGGCGTAAGACGTGACTGTAATAATGTATGTGCTGACGGTGTTTCACCTGGTAGCTATCATGCACCTTCTGCTGAGAATTTAAATTTATGCGTTTTAGTGGAATTGCTACTATGGATTCAGTGGAATATTACTTACATTAATAATAATAATAATAATAATAATAATTATAATTATAATATTATTATTATTATAATATAATTACGGCGCTTACCGATCATAGTGCCAACGATGAGTCCTACACCGCTGATGAGACCGAGCTGTTTCTTCAGATGTACATACGTTCCCGTATCTTCCTCATCGTCGTCATCCTGTTTCTTCTGTATAACTCTTTCATTCTGACCTGCGTCAGACGGCTGGAAACCATCTCCATAGTCGATATCAGCTGGAAAACGGCAAAGTCTTGTTATTCTCGCATATTAACATCAATGCAATTATATCTCACAAGAGCTGATTCAAGCGACGTAAGCAAAAGAGGCAGTATTTGTTGATATAGTGAAATACAATACAAAACCTCAATTAATAGCGTCCGATAATAACAATACTAGCAACAGGAAATTCTATTTTTTTTAAAGTACATTTTCTTACTAGATATTGCCATAACAGGTAGAGAGTAATGCGGATGTAATACCTATTGTAAATGTTCACTGGTATGAAATGAACGTATATGTGCATCACTAATTCTCATGCTTTATCAACCAGCTCGGTATTTATGCACCCAAAGTTAAATCAAATTACCATACAATAAATCACCATTAAATAATAAAATTTTACATAAATAAATACAGCGGTCCTAGCTTTATTGGTCTTTGGATAAACGGCGCGTTGCTTAAACGACACGTCTTTGGAAAACAGCCCTTACGTGTTCACCGTTTAATCAGAACTACTGCATGCGTAATCAGGACGTCTCATCGTTTCCCATTTGTCCCGATAAAGCTGACCCACTGTATCTGGTCCCAGGTATGATGATATGATTACCAGGTAGTTCTACGTTCGCCCCTAGCGAATGTCATTATTATGCGACCAATGCTTATAATTCACGCATAATTTACCGGGTACATCCCGGGGCACTCCCTATATATTGCATGGTATAGGTATATGTGCCGCGGTTATGACCCTCCCCCCCTCTGCACCAGAGACCCCAACTTTTCACATATTTCCCGTCCCAGAGCATAGGTTCTACTTTTTTTCGCACCGGAGACCACCTCCTTTTTTTGCATATATTTCCCGTCCGGGAGCATAGGTCCTACTTTTTTCCGCACCGGAGACCTCCCTTTTCACATATTTCCCGTCCCGGAGCATAGGTCCTAGTTTTTTCCGCACCGGAGACCCCCCTTTTCACATATTTCCCGTCCCGGAGCATAGGTCCTACCTTTTTCCGCACGTTCCGGAGACCCCCTCTCGCAAACATGTCCAGTTCCGGAGTATCATGCTTTCCAGCAAACCCTAGTTCCGGAGACCCCCATTTTGATGCGCTGAGTTAGTACCGGAGCCCCCCATTTTGATGTGCTGAGTTCCGGAGCATTGGGGGGCATCTCTCAAGTGGCACATACCTATACCCTATTTCGTAGGAAGTGCCCCACCCCGGGGGCTACATTTGCTAGCCAGCTGTCTTGAGGTGATAAAACAGACGACCCTGAACTAAGACAGGACCCTTTAGGCTTTAGATCCCTTTCCAGTCAATTTCCACCTAACACGACCCGGGGGGGGGGGCACTCCCATTGTTAAAGGTACTGGGGACGTGCCGCTGGACAGGGTATATTTTCCGAACATAATTATTGGCACAGGGTTATCTAGATACCCATCCATCAAGCTGATATTGGCCTAATATTGGCAAAACAATATTGGACCAATATCACGAGGCCAATATTGGACCAATATAGGCAGATATTGGTCCAATATCGACCCAATATTGGCAAAACAATAGCCAGATCGATATTGGACCAATATATGCCTATATTGACAGGAGGACAGGACATAACCGAAGTGTGCAATATTGCAACAGGGTATACTTTTTAGTACAGCATATTGGGACAGGGTGTATTTTAGGGCGCAAAGCGGTTTGCGACAGGGTCAGGTTTTCAAGGTCCCCCAGGCACCCCCCTACCCAGTTCCGAGGCGAGTGTCCCCCCCGGGAACACGACGCGTAAACGAGACAAAACAATATAGGCTCAGCAGCTGTCATCCTACAGTGAAATTCACCTCTGGATCGCACCCCGAACAATAAAATCGGGTTGAAAAACA